TCAAGTTAATAGAAAACAAGTTTCATGTGTCACAATAGAACCACTAGTATTTAGGCAAAAAATTAAGTTACAGCCATGCCTTACACAATAAACTTAAATAAAGCCAAATGAACTAAAGAGTTAACTGCTAAAAGTTAAATAAAAACAAGACAAAAAATAAATAAAAACTAACAAAACAAAAAGAAACTAACATAAAATATCCATGAACACTGAAATGTTTTCAGTAGAAACACCCTTTTTAGGATGAAAATAAAAGAATGCTTCTAGAAGCATGGAGGAGCTCATTGGTTGAGTCTATTTAGTCAACTAGCTCATTTATATTTAATCTACATTTAATTATCTAAACTAATCAAATATATGCTCAGTGGTGAAAGAAAAAACCAATAAAGATATAGGAAATATTAGAAATATAATTTTTAGGCTACCTCTAAATGAAACTTTTGAAGATTAAAAAACTTAACAAAGAATATATGCTGAGAAGAGCATCCCTTATCAGTGTACTGTTTAACTTTTAATTGTTAGGTGAGTTTTGAATATACTATCAGAAAGAGACTAAAAACAAAAAATTGAGGAAGAATTTTTCATCTATCTAATGAGCAAGTGTTCAAAAAGCCCTCCTATTACTATACTATTACAGTGGCAATCGAGCACTGTATTAATATTTGTACCCTGCACCCAAGTAATTCTCCTTTCAGGAGTTTCTCTTAATAAACGAGTCCAAAATGCAGTCAAAGATTCCTATGCATGGACTCAGACTCCAGCAATATTTACAACACTGAAGAAAAAAAAAATTAGCACAACATAACCAAAGGGGAATGGGTAAATAAACGAGGATACATGTGTGCGGTTTGCAAGTCATGCAGTAGTTGTGCTTCAGGAGTACCCACTGAAATGTTTGCAGATGGCACAGCATTATCTAGCTTCAAAATAATACCAGAAGACAGTGAGTGGAGTTATGGATAAAACGAGCTTGGTTCTGCATTGGTAAATACTAAAGTGGGTGGGTAGGGCCATAGGGGTTCACTATACCATTCTGTATAATGCTGCATGTTTGAAATTTTCCATATTTAAAAGTTAAGGATTATGTAGGGAGGGAATATTAAGTTTAAAAAATCAGGCTTCAAACTGATTTTGCAGCTTGAGTCCAAGATTATAAATGAAAAAGGTAGCACAGAAAATGAGGCATAGACAATGAGAAACCAAAATGTGACCATAGAGTTAAAATTACACAACTCCCCAGAATCCTAGACAACGTTCCAAAATTTTGGGGTGACACCATCCATCCTACCTCTGCACGCCAACCACATTAGTCTCCCAAGAATGTCCTTTATCCCAGGACCTTGCGCACTCTGAAGTAACAGACGGCAGATGTTTAGTCTACGAGTTCCTTTTTCCCCACATTGGGCACCCACTCAAGTACTCCCTCAACGCAAGAATACTTTGTTCTATTAAACTGGCATTCTATGATGCTCACCTTCCTGACACAACCACTGAAGACAAAGCGGGTGAATAAGCAAAAGTGGTGAAGAAAGCTGATGGTGCCTGGCTATCAAAGGATATAGCGTATGGGGTCTTAAAGGCTTGAAGGTAAACAAGCAGCCATCTAGCTCAGAAGCACCAAAGCCCACATGGAAGAACACATCAGCCTGTGTGAACACGAGGTGCCAAAGGGATCAGTTATCTGGCGTCAAAGCACAAAAAATCATATCATTGTGTGCTCACCTCCATCATACGATCACTGAAGACAAATGGGCGCATAAGCAAATGTGGCGAAGAAAGCTGATGGTGCCCGGCTATCAAAAGGTATAGCGTCTGGGGTCTTAAAGGCTTGAAGGTAATCAAGCGGCCATCTAGCTCAGAAGCAACAAAACCCACATGGAAGAAGCACACCAGCCTATGCAACCACGAGGTGTCGAAGGGATCAGGTGTAAGGCATCATCAGAACAAAAAATCTTACCATAGTGAATGATGGGGGGAGTGCAGAGTGGAGACCCAAAGCCCATTAGTAGGCCACTGGAGATCCCCTTGCAGAGGGTCTCGGAGAGGAAACGAGCCAGACAGGGTGCGATGTAGCAACGATGAAAAATACAGCTTTCCTCTAGTTCCTAAATGCTTCCTTTCCCCCCACCCCCCATTATCATGATCCGATTTCTACCTTGCAAGTCTGGCTAGACCAGAGGATATACACTGGTACAAATGGGAACAGGAAACATGGGGAATCCAGGCGAATGATCCCTTCAGGACCAGTGGTGTGAGGGGCGATACAGGGTGGGTGAAGGGAGAGTGGGTTGGAAAGAGGGAACTGATTACAAGGATATATATGTGACCTCCTCCCTGTGGGATGGACAACAGAAAAGTGGGTGAAGGGAGACGTCGGACAGGAGAAGATATGACAAAATAATAATTTATAAACTATCACGGGCTCATGAGGGACGGGGAAGTGGGGAGGGAGGGGAAAAATGAGAAGCTGATGCCAGGGGCTTAAGTGTAGAGCAAATGTTTTGAGAATGATGAGGGCAATGAATGTACAAATGTGCTTTACATAATTGATGTATGTATGGATTGTGATAAGAGTTGTATGAGCCCCTAATAAAACTATTGAAAAAAAAAAAAAAAGAGGTGCTGTTTCCCAAGGCCGGCCTCGCTAAGGTTTTGTGCAGTCCACATGACTTGCTTTTCCACAGTACTGTACAATCTTCAAAGAACCAACTCACTGGACAAGCTCCCTTTGATCACAAGATTGTAAATGGCATTTCCACAGAAACCACTTCACAGCAGCCGCAGCCGACTGAGGCCCGCTTGTAAAGCTCTCTAAAGAAATACAGAGTGGATCTGTTAAATTGCCAGAGTCTGTTTTTTAACAGTTATTAGCTATAGGTTTTAAGAGTTGACTTAATATTTGTATCTATTTTCTGTAACTTCTAGTTTCTCCTAAATTAATGTGTATTAGTGTCATGATCAGAAAAATAAAAGATGATAGCTACTTTGAAAAAAGTTGGATGCAAATGAAAAAGGAACACGTTTAACCCTTAGGACATAGGAACATAATCAATTAGCTTGACTTTCCAACAAATTTTTCATTCTGCTACGTGACATCCTTCTGATGTCCAAGTCTCTCAAAACAGGTAGCCCGCCACGTAGGACGTATTGGACAAACTACACTTAGGTCTTTTTTTTCATGTGTGCATCTTATCCTTAGTAACTTGTTGTCATGTGTTGCACATGTGTGGAAGGAATTAGCTGATGCACCATTTGCAGATGATCAATTTAATGATTTTGCTGAAAATATTGTAGTAAAGGTTTCATTTTCTAAACAGGTCAGGGGGTTCAGTTGCTTGAAAATAGAGATCTAGATGTTAACTACTTTGCTAAAGTCAACCAGCAGGTTCAGGAAGCAGTGAGCTTTTAACACACACACACACACACACACACACACACACACAATGAAGGGGGAAAAAAGAATCAAATATAACTCTGACCCATTTTCTGACCAAACACACCATCCCTGCTCCCAGGGATAAATTCAGATGATCCAGAACTTTCCATGGAGTTACTACCACAACTGACAAACGTCATCCAACCCCTTTTCAGGGTCGAAGTAAATGTTTATGATATGTGTATATTTTTAGACACCTGCATGTGTGTGGAAGCCCTGGTGGTATTGGGCTGTGATCCATAAGGTCAGCAGTTCAAGAGCACCAGTGGCTGCGCAGGAAAAGGACGGGGTCTGCTACTCACACAAAGAGTCACAGTCTCAGAACACAGAGAGTTCTGTCCTAGCCTACAAGGGAGGCCATAAGTCAATGGCAGGGAGGGTTGTTTTGGGGTTTTTTTTGGTGTAAGTGTTGAAATATATCCATAAGTTTATGTGTAATGTTTTTAAAACAAATAAGGATTGGGTATATAAAGATACTTGTAAGAGACACTAATAATGAAAATTTTAAAAGAGGTATAGGATTTATATCAGAACTTACTTACAACAGAGTTGTCTGAGCAGAGCTCCATCCTAAGTTGGGGACTATCTGCATATACAGTCTTCTTCACTCCAGTCCTGGCTTGCCTTTCCCGTCTCTTCTCTCACCATAGCCTTCCTTATGACAGGAGAGTGTCTCCCCAAAGAGACAACTTCCGATTTATAGGTTCTCAACACATCATATCTTAGAAATCCACGTAGGTGCAACATCTGCCTCACCTACTGGGGTTCTATGCCCTGACAGACATGCAGCATGCCACATGCTAGCACAAACTCAAGAACTCAAAATCTCACTGCTATCAAGTCAATTCTGACTCATAGGGACCCTATAGGACAGGGCAGAACTGCCTCTGTGAGTTTCTGAGACTAACTCTTTATGGGCGTAGAAAACCTCGTCTTTCTCCTGAGAAATGGCTAGTGGTTTCGAACTGCTGACCTTGTAGCAAGCAGCCCAATGTGGAACCACTACACCACCAGGGCTTCCTACATGCCTGGCACACTACCTTATAAATAAAAATGTGGCCTTCGCTCTAGTACAAAAAGCCAACCTGTAGGCACAGAGTGTATTCAGACTCATAGCACCCATAAAGAACAGGAGCACTGCCCCATAAGGTTTCCATAGCTGTGATCTTTCAAAGCAGGTGGCCACACCTTTCTGACACGTCTGCCGGGTTTGAAGCACAGTTAGCATTTGAATGTGTAACTACCAAGGTCCTTTAGTAAATAAATCTACTGAACAAGAATTGACACTTGCAGCACAGAGAAAGCATTTCTAAAACAAAATGAAATGAACTCTAAATTGTCTCTACAAACCAAATATGAATGGCCAATTAAAATCATTACATAATATCCTGAGCCCCTTGAAGGAGATGTCTATTGAGTCCTATAGTAAAGTGATATCACAGCTAATTTCATTTTTTTTCAATTTGCGTTCACTATTGTTGAAATTTCACCCTTACTGGCGAAAGGGTTAGAACTTTCTGTATCAATCAGCTTCCTGTTCCAGGGTCAGCCTGCACCAGCTCACCTGACGGCAGTTGCCCTAAGGACGAGCGCCTCCGTGTGGACTGACAAGTCTGAGGGCAGCAGCAGCTCCACCGGCTGCAGGCACGAGATCCGAGTTTCCAGCTCAGAGCGGGAAGCCGAGTCCTGGAAACTATCAAACACAACCTCGCCCGTCGCAGGCTGCACTCCCTGGGAAAAAAAAAAAGAGTCCCGGTTATAACTGTCACAGGGCAGATACACTGGTAATGGTAAAGGAGAGGCACTCACTAGTATATACTCCGCTCCCAAGGTGTCTGAGAGGAGTCAGATTTTACCCTTATCTAAATTATACCAGTACCGAAACCAGGCAAGGTTGGTGAGACTTCATTTCACATGCTTTGCACACATCAGGAGAGACCAGTCCCGGGAAGATGCTTGGTAAAGTAGAAGGCAGACAAAAAGAGGAAGGCCCTCCATGATATAGATGGACTGACACAGGGCTGCCACAATGGGCTCAAACTTAACAACAACGTGAGGATGTGTTGGTTCTGTTGTACATCGGGCTATAATGAGTCGTAACACACTTGACGACACCGAACGACAACAAACAAGAGATTTTGTAGACAGCCTTGTTACCAGGTCTGGCTCTAAGACACCGAGCTGAGGGACTGAGACATCTCAAACCCTTAGGGGCATCTAGTCCCTCCTCTGTGGGTGGAAATAAATTAGTCTGTTTTCTTCACTGCACTGCTCTAAGGATCAACTTACTGAGCAGTGAGTGATGGGTAAACATGATAGTGGGGCAGAAGAAAAGAAAAATGAGGAAAGAAAGGAAATATATATTTATAGGTATTTATATAGATATGTATATATGTAAATATTTAAATATAGGTATCTTTTAATAAATGTATCTATATTGCATATATTGCATACACCAAGGGCACAGATGGGCTTTTGGCCTCTATTTAAATCTTACTCCAATAGAAGAACGGTTTGTTCTAATAATGTGGTACTGTAGCATACTCACACTCCCAAAAAAATTGCTGAAGACAAAATTGGTGTATAAGCAAATGTGGTGAAGAAAGCTGATGGTGTCCAGCTATCAAAAGATATAGCTGTGGGGCCAGCACCAATCCAAGCTATGTTGACCCCCACCCTAGAAGAATGTACTACAGAGGACATCACTGAAGATATAGGCAGGGAGAGTGGTTGGTCTGTCCTGACCACATGGGAGTAAACAAAGAGGGAAAGAGAGACGAGGGAAAGAGTGGAGCTGATCCTGGTCCACCAAGCCTTGAGGATGACATCCCTGCTCAGAGTAGCCAGTGCACAGAGAGCCCCATAGGGCCAGCCCCAACACGAGACACAACGTCCCCTCAACGGCCGACAGCGCTATGGAGACAACATTGGAGACAGTGTGGGAATTGTGTCCGGTCTGTCCCCCCCAGAGCAGGGTGAACCACAAAAGGAGAATAGAACAGCAAGTAGAGCAAAGTCCCCGAGGAAGTCCCAAAACAAACTTCTGACTTGGGGGAGGGGGAGGGGTGTCACTACTTGGTACCTCATCAGACCTGGTTGGAAGAAATTCATAAAAGTTAGCTGATAGACCTGGAACTATTTAGAGGGTGGTGGGGTTTTTTCCCCTCCTTTTTAATTTTTTTAATTCAAAAAAATTTAATGTCTATCTATATGGCAGGATAAACAATCCCAAGAAGAAAGCAATGGGACTGATGCTTCTGGGGGGACCAGAGGAGAGAACAAGACAGGGAAAGGGAGTAAGAGGTCAACAAACTCAGGGATAAGGGAACAACAAGGGATCTAAAATCGACCAGCGAGGAGGGAATAGAATGCCTGGTGGGGTTAATCAAGTGCAATGTATCCCAGAGGAATTATTGAGAGCCAAATGAAGGGTTAGCATGAGAGTGGGGCAGAAGGAAATTTTTTTAAAAACAGAGGATAGAACTAGGAGGCAAAAGCTATATATAGGTGTATAAATATAAGCAGGTACATTATGTAAATATATTAATACATAATGATGACTATTGGTCTACACACATACATTTACATGTTAAAGTATTAAGGTTGTAGGCGGACTTTGGGCATCTACTTTTTATTTAAGCCAGAGTGTTTTATTTTTTAATTCAGAGTTGTAATTTTAGATCATATTGATCAACTCCCTGATGCAAAGATTTCCTCCTTTCCTCCCACATCCTGATTTTTATTGATTATATATATTTTTTAATTATTATTTTTCTAATCATTTTATTGGGGACTCATACAACTCTTTTTTTTTCCTTTTTTTTTTCATCAATATTTTTTTAATCAATTTATTGGGGCTCATACAATTTATCACAATACATAGATCAATTGTGTAAAGCACATTTATACATTTGTTGCCCTCATTATTCCCAAAATTCGCTTTCCTCTTGGGTTCCCGGAATCAGCTCATTTTCCTTTTTTTCCCCTCCCCCTCCCTTCCTCCTCCCCTCTCCCCCATGCACCCTTGATAATTTATAAATTATTATTGTATCTTATATTACACTGTCCGGCATCTCCCTTCACCCACCCCTCTGCTGCCCGTCCCCCAGAGAGGAGGTTATATGTAGCTCCCTGTGATCCATTCCCCCTTTCTATACCCCATTTCCCTCCTGGTATCGCCACTGTCACCCCTGGTCCTGAGAGGTTCATCTGTCCTAGATTCCCTATGTTTCCAATTCCCATCTGTACCGCTGTGCATCATCTGGACTAACCAGGTCTGCAAGGCAAAATTGGGGTCCTGGTAGTTGGGGGGAGGAAGCGTTTAAGAACTAGAGGAAGGTTGTGGGTTTCATTACTGCTATACTGTACCCTAAGTGACTCATCTCCCCACTACCCCTCTGCAAGGTATGTCCAGTTATCACAATCCATGCACACATACATTTTGTCAAGCACATTTGCACATATGCTGCCATCATCCTTTTTAAAACATTACCTTTCCACTTAAGCCCTAGATATCAATTCCTCATTTGCCCCCTCCACCACCCTCATGAAACCTTGATAATTTATAAATTATTATTTTTTTCATGTCTTATACCAACCACTGTCTCCCTTCACCTACTTTTCTGTTGTTCATCCCCCCTGGAAGGGGGTTATATGTAGATCATTGTGATCAGTTCCCCCTTTCTTCCCCCCACCTTCCCTTTACCCTCCTGTTATCACTACTCTCATTATTGGTCCTGAAGGAGTAAACTCCTGGATTCCCTGTGTTGCAAGCTCGTATCTGTACCAGTGTACATGCTCTGGTCTAGCTGGATTTATAAGGTAGAATTGGAATCATGATAGTGGGGGAGAGGAAGCATTAAAGAACTACCCTGTTTCCCCAAAAATAAGACCTACTTAGTTTTGCCTCTCACTGAAATATAAGGCATCCCCCCCCAAAAATGGACCCCTGAAGCTACCGCAACTCTGGACTCTGGACTGTAGCGGTGGATGCCGCCACACAGCTCACTATTGGCCGCAGAGCAGCTGGAGCAGACAGAAGTGTGAGGTCTCTTTTAATAAAACAATAAACAATAACTGTGTACAGTATTCTTCATTAAAAATAAGACATCCCCTGAAAATAAGACCTACCGCATCTTTGGGAGCAAAATTAATATAAAACACTGTCATATTTTCGGGGAAGCAGGGTAGAGGAAAGTTGTATGTTTCAATGGTGCTATACCGCAACCTGACTAGCTCATTTCTTCCTTGTGACCCTTCTGTAAGAGGATGTCCAATTGTCTACAGATGGGCTTTGGGTCTCCACTCCATGCTCCCCCTCATTCACATCGGTATGATTTTTTGTTGTGGGTCCTTGATACGTGATCCCATCGATACCTCATGATCACACAGGCTGGTGTGCTTCCTCCATGTGCATTTTGTTGCTTCTCAGCTAGATGGCCACTTGTTTATCTTCAAGCCTTTAAGACCCCAGACACTGTATCTTTTGATAGCTAGGCATCATCAGCTTTCTTCACATTTGTTATACACTCATTTTTTTCTTCAGCAATCGTGTTGGGAAGGTGAGCATCACGGAATGCCAGGTTATTAGAACAAAGTGTTCTTGCGTTGAGGGAGTACTTGAGTAGAGGTCCGACATCCATCTGCTACCTTAATACTTAACATATAAATATATGTAAATAAACCTATTTCCCTATTGTTATGTATAAATATATTTACATATGTACATGCCTATATTTAGACCTCTATAAATGTCCTTTGCCTCTTAGTTCTTTCCTCTATTTCCTTTTACTTTCTTCTTGTTCCACTATCATGTTCGGACTTTATGCAGGTTTCAGGAATTCCTCTCGGCTACATTGCTCTTGATTAAGCCCTACCAGGCATCCTACGCTCTCCTCTCCATCAATCTTAGACCACTTGTTGTTCCCGTGTCCCTGGGTTTGTTAACCCCTATCCTTTCTCCTGCCTCCCCCTGTCCCGTGCCCCCCCAGAACCATGGGTCCTGTCGCTTTCTCATCCGGATTATTTATCCTGCCTATCGTATCTAGATAGACATGCAGAGACAATAATAAGCACGAAAACAAGACAAAGCAAAACAACAACAAAACCAATGACAAAAAAAAAAAAAAAAGTCTATAAATAGTTCCAGGTCTGTTTGTTGACCTTTAGGAATGTTTTCCAGTCAAGTCTGATGTGTGCCACACCCTAGCCACAAAGTTTACTTTTGGTATTCCTCTGGGACTTCATTGATTTGCTCCCCTTGCTGCTCTGTTAAACATCATTAGTGTTTCACTCCAGTGTGTTGGAGTCAGATCGGGCACAATTCCCACACTGTGTCTCCAGTGTTATCCCCCACAGCCCTATGGGGTCATTGAAGGACATCGTGTCTGTGTCTCATGGTGGGGTCAGCCTTATGGTCCTCTCCATGCATTGGTTGCTCTGAGTAGGAATATCATCCTCGGGGCTCAGTGGGCCAGGATGTGATCCACTATCTCTCCTTAGCTCTGCATTTGCTCCTGTGTGCTCTGATCAGATGTGCTCCTCTCCTGGAGTTGGAGCTTCAGTGCTGTCCTCTGAAGTGCATTTTTCTGGGAGGCCAGGGAAGGAGATCCACATAGTTGGGATTGGGACCAGCCCCGCAGACTTCTCTGTTGGTTCCCTACTTCATGCCGGTATGTTGTACTCATGTCTTGGCATACTGGCTTGAAGTATGATCCCTCTCTCTCCTGTGG